TGCAGAAGCGAAGAGTGGATAAGAAGACAGTTAAGTGGATTGCAAGCTTTCTCAGCAACAGACACACCAAGATCGTAGTAGATGGCTTCACATCACAAGAGTACGCAATCAACACGGGCATACCGCAGGGCTCGCCGCTCTCGCCCACTCTCTATCTCTTCTACAATGCCGATCTTATAGACGAGTGCAACAGAGAAGCCAACACAACGTCCACAGGGTACATAGACGACATAGCTATCCTTGCATGGGGTAACACAGCAGCAGAGACATGCAGCACGCTAAGTCGCGTTCTCGAGAAAGCACAGCGATGGGCCATCACCCACGCCTCGGTCTTCGCACCAGACAAGTTCCAGCTAACTCACTTCACACGCTCGCGTACACGCATCAACAGAAACAGGACAGTGCAGACCAGCTGGGGCGAGGTGACGCCTAAGCCAACGTGCAAGTATCTAGGCCTAACTATGGACTCAAAGCTGCAGTGGAAAGAACATGTAGAAGAGATCAGACGCAAAGCGACAAAGACGGTCAACGCGCTTAGCTGCCTCGGAGGCTCGACCTGGGGCATCACGCTTACAGATATGCGAAGGCTGTACGAGGCCACAGCGCTGCCACAGGTGATGTATGCCTGCTCCATCTGGTCGAATGCCAGCGCCAAGGGCAAAACATATACGAAGAAGACACTCAACGTCCTGCAAAGCATACAGGCAAGAGCAGCAAGAGGTATATGCGGAGCATACAAAACCACGTCCAAAGTAGCACTCGACGTCGAAGCACATCTCCTACCAATCGAGCAGCAGATATGGAAGCACAACGCCGACGTTATCACTCGGCTTCTCTCGAGCAAGCACATGGCGTACATCTTAAACCTTTAGGTAAGCAGGTCACAACCTGGTAGCGCAAGCATACGCCGCATTAGACACGTCGACTCTTGGCAGAAGATATACGATGACATGAAGAGTCAGCGCAGACAGGATCTCGAGATACAGGAGCCAATTCCACCCTTCATCACCCCGCCCTGGCGACACGGCCCAAAGACCCACATAGACAAGAGCGCCGACAAAGCACGCAGTCGACACGACAGAGAGCATGAGAAGGGCCAGAGCCTTAGCATCTATACCGACGGCAGTGGCATAGAAGGCGAGATTGGTGCTGCAGCAGTATGCCCACTCACACATCAGACCCGCACAGTGCACATGGGGTCAGACACAACCTCGACAGTCTACGCCACCGAGCTACAAGGTATCAGCCTCGCACTACAAATAGCACAAGAGTACGCAGAGCGAGGGGGTGAGAGGCGGAAGGTAGCCATCTACACAGACAACCAGGCAGCCATTTGGTCAGTGGCTAAGGCTGAAGGTCGATCAGGAGCATACATTCTCGCAGACATTCCAGAACAGGTCAAGACGCTCCAAGACATCGACCGGCCAGTGACAATAAGGTGGATCCCAGCCCAAACCGGCATTCCAGGAAACGAAGTGGCTGATAGGGCCGCCAAAGAGGCCACAGGATGGAGAGAGGACGGGCGCAGACACCCGCCAGCAGAAGCGCCGCCCAGACTCTATCCAATCAAGTCGACCGTCAGGGGCTGGTGCAGGACTCAAACAGAGCGAGCGTGGGCAGCTAAGTGGCGAACAGAGGCATCCTCAAGTTCGTTAAGTACATATTAGACGTTAGGTCTAGAGTTTGCAACCATATCTTTTGCTGGCAGCGTCTCGTAAGTCACGGAATCTAAGAGCAACTATGGAGAATATCGATGGTTTATCGTAAG